AGTTTAAGGAATTTTGATTAAATCCTGAATATTAATTTGAATATAGCTGACTCCGTAAAAAATGTATAAACAAATAGTCTGATCGTAAAAAAAAATTATGGCAATTATGAATTTTGTATTCCCTATGTCGATCGTAAGTGCGAAAGAGACAGACTTATGTGAATGCACAGTGCAAGAAGAGAACCATAGATACAAATTGTAATTTAATGATATTATCGAGTTTCTGCTACTGGCACTAAGGAAGCAGGGACATGAAGATTTTATAAAGAAAATAGATGATCTATTTACTACAAAAAACGTATTACCTTCATCTAATGAAATACGTGGCTGTTTATCTTTATAGGTATACAAACATATATTAAGCTTCGAGTAATGCTGAGTGTTGTGTCTCAACTATTCGATGTCCTCAATAGGAAAGGATCGTTGCACCTGGTCAGGTAAAAACATATAATTCACCAGAACTTTAAGTGGAGTCAGGATTCTTTTGATAATCACTGTTCCCTCAAGATACCAAAAATTGTTTCGGTCAACTTCTTCTTAATTTTCTTCTCTACCAGGCCAAAGAGTCTTTTTGCTGGTCACCAGAATGGGCAATTGCTTCATTAGACGACGGATACTGACGATTAAGTGATGAGTTCTGCTAAAAACGTGAACCTTTCGGTCCGGAAAGTAACTTTTGAAAAAAAAAAGCGTGGGATCACCGTTGAGTTCCTTGAACTTGGATAATCGTAAATCCGTGACGTAAACCCGATAGTCATGTATGTCTATATACACATCTACAGTTGGTAGCCGTGCCAGAAACGGTCCACGTAACAACACAGGTCGCCGGGTGCCCATCTGACAGTCATTGGTCATCGACAGTTGCGTCACGTTCTTCAACGTACCACGTGAACGTATTTGGATAATTTTGAAATTCTTATCGTACGTTTATATACACAATTAACTGAAATACTGTTATCCCAATCCACATTCAAATACTCCCGTTACACGTGACGTCAGCATTAAATAGTTTATAATAAACTGAAAAAGATGGCTGACCGATATTTTCACACATCCCTACGATAATTAACGTGTCCGTTACTTTTTTATTTATATATCCAATAAGACAGAAATTATCTCAAACGGTCCATGGCTGGCCAGTGCCTACAGCTAAGCAGCATCTTCGATCCCGAGAATTGAACAATAAATTTCTTTTAACCTGTACCGGAACGTGGGTACCTACATGCATCGTACGTACATAAAAATTTCTAAACTCGAGAAATAATCCTGAGATTATGCGCGGATAGAGAATTTCCTCACATATTTTCTGGTGTTAATCTTAGTCGTAGGTGTATATGGAAATGTGTGTCACTGGTATCGAAAAGAAGCTTTAAATCCCTAACGGTACCATTCCAATGGATTCCCCATATGACTCAGTAGGCGGTTCACAAACAATCAATCACGTTTTACGCGACTTGCACAACATCCACTAGAGCTCTACCGAGGTCCAGGATGTCCCGTTAGGATGACGACTGGCGATGGGAAGAAAAACAAGAGGCGATCCTTCTTGATTGATCGGAATAGTATAATCCCGAGGAAGATCCTGTGGCTACAATAATGGCTATTCAGTCGTGTTCAAAATGTTTGACTTACTTTTGAAACTATTTTATGAAGTTAAAAAGTATCATTCGTTGAGACTATTGTATGCTACACGTTGTAAGGAAAGCGACGGCGCTGAAGGGCAATATTCATCTATGACTTTCGTTACTTTAATTTTATCGTGGCAGGGTTAACCGTCCGCTAGTTACGTTGACAGGCCAGGAGGCTTCCAGCTGGAAACGCTACGGTTGGTGATTATCCTTCCGCGCTTTCTGGTACAATGGAACTAGTCAAGCGCAATGAGAAAGACTACGAAGGCGTGAGTAAATAGTGAGAAATGTTAAAATTGAGATGAATAGAAGCAACAAAAAAGAAATTTGATTACCCACACCATTTGATTACCCACACCAAAAAATTCTTAAAAACGAGATTCTTTAATATTATCTTTTTCCTTTTTGGGTTTCTCCACGTTGTCCGCGTTGATTTTACATGAACAAATATAGTTAATTTTCGTACTTCCTGTTGCTAAAAATAGAACGAAAAGAAAGAAGACTCGATTCGGTGACCGCAGGAGCAGCCAATAGGAACGGGAATCAATTAAATCGCCAAAGAAAACCGTTATGGTTTCGTAAGCCGGCCACTAGAGTGTAGGTCGATCGATATCTCATGTTGTACTTTTTTGTTCATCTACTCCTAATGCCCGTTTATTAGACTTTGTCCATTATTCAAGCAGCATGAAATATTTTGGTGAACATCTTGACGCTCAAAGTATCACGTACATATGAGCGACTAATGGCACCTGGTAATATTCGAATACCACTGTAGCTACGATTATTATACCATATACTAATTCGTATAAGAACCAAGTATAACTCGAAGACGAAGCTGCGATGCGGAACGCGATTATTTTAATTGTGACTATTAGGATGGTTGTCATTGACCTTGCTAAGTTCGCGCCAGATGCGACGAGCAAATACGGCAGTGAGTGCCACGACGACAATGACAGTAATAATGATGATGATAACGATCATTGTCACGATGACGATGATCATAACGATGTAGATGGCAGCTCGATGAAAACTAAATGATCCAACTAAGCATCGACCTATAAATATAAAGAAGCAATAGGCTGTTCGTTGCATGTAAAAAAAATCAAAAATAAATACTTTTAACTGAATCGCTTAACCATGAGGTATCCGGAGGTTCTCTTTTGAAGCATCCTTCACTATAATTTCAATACCGATCTACGAATTGGGATCTGGGTAGACTTCGAGCGATCTATGGATACTGGAAATTATTACTCTCTATAACCTAGCTATGTGATTCCTTACGGTGACCATAGACAGACTATAAGATACCTATAACGGTCCATGGTGATTCAGGTCGATACCACTTTGAATCCAGAGATTATGGTATACGTCCACCTACTAGCCAGTTCAACAGAATTCCCATGGAATTCGCTATGTAATCCTCTTGGGATTATAGGCTCGCTTATAGTAACCATAAACCTGGATATCGAGGTTATAAAAAGTAAAATAAGTAAACCGTGTAACCATAGCATACAAGTGAGCATAAGTCAGATCGTTGTAAAAAAAAAAAAGAGGAAGCACGTATAGAAGAAGAGTAAACGACGTAAGGTGGAATGGACCTTCTCGAAATCAGCCGTAAATCGGATGTGTTCGCAGAATGTGGAATGTGGGGTTGAAGAATGCGGAACGCGATGCCATTTGCAAGATGCTGGAACGTTAATCCACAGTGGATTATGGATTGAATTGAATAAAGCGTCTACTCGCGCCACCTAAGCGCTCAGGGAATTCTATGGCGTCCATAAGTGTAACGGTCTTGGCCGGTACCGACGTGGAAATTACCGTTGCATGGTCCACAAACTACGCGAGATAATACAACTGCTTGATCACTCTTTTATCTGGACATGTATTCTTGACGCGAACGTCCAGCTTCCTGGAAACCTCTTTTTTTATTCTGCCAACGAAACCTGACTAATATCCTAACCGATCGGTCTTTGACACGTGTCTGGCACTTATGACGTATAGATTCGCCAATCACAAGCCTGTAAACGATGCTGTTATTAGAGGGCAATTACTTTTTACTGAAATGACGTTCGGTCATTCAGCGGGTCCTCAGCCTCCTCCGTTTAATACTTTTCTGCAAGTATACAATGTCCTATGTGAAAAACATATAGCGGTGTGGATTCCTTGGAATCTTATTGTGAGCGGAGTCCAGGGCGTCCGGCGTGAAAGCAAAAAAAGTTACCAAAGGAAGCGTAGAAAATGACGCGACCCGTAACGGGATACTTTTATTCAGTTTGGCTGAAAGGAACAGTCGAAACATAGTCGCCCGGCGAATTGGCCATTGGGGCCCGCATATTTATACGTTAGAAGGAAAGTTGGGAAAAGCACACGGTCCTATCTTCAGAGATAAGACCCACGTGTTTTAACACTGGTTCCGAAAATTCCAGGCTCGACTGTAGTACGTGGAGCATGCGGCTCAAAGTGCCGTACCGGACTCAAGGAAAGATTTTTAACGGTGATTCTTTGTAACAGGTGTCTTCCTCTCCACACAGTTTATGGTGGGTAGCTGTGTGTATGGAAATAGGTTCGAATACGTAAAGTATACACAGGAAGCGAAGGGCTGCTCGGCCGATGGAATGAGTACGAGTCGAAGGCAAGTCTTCTAGAAGACTAAGGTCAATGGCCAAGCTAGGCGCCGCCTAAGATTCTATAAGAAGTCATACCTCATCGTGAGGCAGGTCGTGCCGAGGCAGAGCATTAAAAATGAATAATTTGGAGTTATACAAAATTTATTTTATGAAGAACAATTTTTTATTTCACTTTTTCTAACCAAGTACACGGTACCAAAGCTTTCTGTCCAGTCGTTGAAATCTCTTATGGATCTCAGCATTGGACTCTCCCACGAGAATAAAGTGAGTTCGATGCTTAGTTTTTTTCTTTTTGGTCCCGTAAATTTACGTCACGGCCCTCAACTTTACAATAGTCGTTCCAATTTGAACGTATTACATTTTTTTTTTATTTCTCAAAAATCCAATTCATTACGTTACTTAAAAATAACGATAAATTCGCGATTCAATACGGTTTTGTACTAGTGACGATTTACACCATGAATATTTAATTTGGTTCCCTGTTAAAGGGGCTCATTTTAATGACTAGCTCGCTATACGCACGTCTGGTACGTTGCTTAACGACTCGACTGGCCGGCCCTGACTTTGAACCGCGCGCAAGCAGCAATGCACCGTGGGAATGCACGCGGTAAAATTCTTTTTGTAAATGAAAGTAAAAAATGTCGAATCACCGAAAGGGAATAGTAAAATCATTTGTGTCATAAAGATTGCACTAAATAACTTTATCCAAAGATAAAGTGATTCAAATAAATTTTGTCGTACATACCTTGATAAATTTTCACTGATAATCAGTCTCGAAAAACCTTCCACGAAAAATCACTGCCACTCAAAAAAAAAAAAAAAAGTCTAAGAATCGAGAACAATCGTTAAAGAAATCAATTCAAGTAAAAATAAATACCAAAGCCTTATAAAACGTACGTAATCGCGAGCACCAGTCACACAATATCTACGAATACTTTTAAAGATTAGATTTTTTAAAGAGTGCAAAACTTTTTTTCTTTTCTCTCAAGGATAGAGAAAAGACCGTTCCGATGCGCTACGCTGCCAGAACGGCTCTGTCTTCGGGGCCGCGAGTCTTCCCGACTTTATAAACCGAGTTGGTCACTAGCGTTGGCCAAAGACTTCTCCTGATTCGCCGGACGTGGCCAAAGGTCTATTCCGATTGGCTGGCGACCTAGCGGTACACAGACTCATGGTTAGCCCCGTGGAATCTTCTTTCCGAGACGTTTCCGTGCGTCTTTTAGCAGCCGCGTAGGCTAGTTACATCTCGTAATTAGGGAACAGTGACATTTTACCGTTTTTTCTCTTCTATTCTTTTTATTCTGATTCCTCTTCCTATTTCTCTTCACAGTGCATCCATCCCCACTAATCGTCTTATCCTTTTACTTTATCTCTCTACCTTATGTGCTTCACTTCCGGTTCGCTGTCGTCTCTTCGTGTTTTGTCAACGTAGGGTAACTAACTAATTTTCGTACGCATTATTATCTTAACAGTTAATTGTTCATGGTTTGCCGTTCATTTTTACAGGCGAATACGTAGACAAACGCTGCGCTTGGTAGTACTTTGACATTTTATACCGTTAATAGAATATTGACGCATTTTAAATTCGATCAATATTATTAATTAGATGCCAATATAAATTAATACCGTAATAATGCATATTTGCGTTAACATTACTATTCTCTCTGAAATCCAAGTATCAAAATACCCTTGGCCAGTACCCAATGCTATTTGCATCGGTGTTCGGGCTTGTGGAAGCAAGATGTCGAAGAACCCACGACTAAGAAAAAGCATAAAACGAATAAGTGGAGTCAGAGATGGATGGTGGAGGTAGAAGCAGAACGTTGAGAAGGTAGAAACTAGAGTCAGCGGTAGAGGAATAACAAGATGAGAATGAGAATGAGATGAGTAGTGGATAGAGAAAGAGAGAAAGATAGGCTAAAGAAAGCAAAGACAGGATTCGCTGGAGTTGGACTCCGCGTTAGCGAAGAGCTGCGCCGTTGGAAAACGCCTGATGATCACTGAACCGTGATACACTCGGCTAGATACACGATACGATTGTTAGCAGAGAATGCCATTTCAATGGTAATAAAATTACCTTATCAATAATATCGCGATTAATATTAAGGAAGCCAAAAAAATTACATATGCTATCGATACAGTTAGGAACACAGTTTTAACGTAAAAAAAATACTCATTTTGTCAGGATAAAAAAAGGTGCCAGCTTACCTTAATATTAATTAACAGGCAATTAATGACAGACATATAGACATTTTTATACTATTTTCCATTCGCTTAATCATTTGGCAGCAGCTTGGTGTACGCAGATCTCATGGATTTTTTGCATGAAATTTTTAAGTCGATGAAATGAACCGTCAAGAAGTAGCTTCGGTCTTTAGTCTAAAGTGAGCTGTAGTTAGCAGTGCCAGTAGCTCAATGAATTAAAGCTGATAGAGAGATATGTATTACATAGGGTATTGACACCTCGCATGCCGTAAATGGCACGAATTTTATTAGTATTTAAGCTCTGATTTTAATATCACCTTAAACGGTTGTTTCTTATTTGCCATGCGAGACAAATCTAAACGAAAATCCTAAATAATAGGATTTCGGCAAAGATTTTTTCCCGAAACGCAGTTCAGCCCATATTCTGCAAGGCGAATAATCATTTTGATACCATACTCTTTCAATAATTAATTAAAAATTGAAAAAGTAATTTTTTTCAAATTCAAAACGGGTCGGGTTTTCGGGTCGGGTTGCTGTTCTTTATTTAGTACTATTTTAAATTTCAAAATCGGAGGTTTGGAGTCCTTTTAAATTTTGTATTTCGATCTTGTAAATAACTATACTTTTCGGAGTAATAATTTTTTTCTCATACTTTTATATTTGCAGTTGCAGAGTTGGTGTTTCTTTTTATTTTTTTTTGCAATACGAAAATGGAGCTAACCAAACCTGAGACTGCATTCTCCGCATCTTGCAAATCTTTATTTTCTTCTAACCTTCTCTGTTTACAATCTGATTCACATTTCGAGTATTGATTATAGCAAATGAATTCTGTACAGTTTTGCGTTCTGATTTACCTATAATTGAACCTGTGTTAAATGGTTCGAGGCAAAATAGCAAAGGAAAATAACGCGAAGCGCATTCGTTCCATGTAATCGTATAAACGTGGATTGAAAATATATGGGCTATCGGAGGACTAAAATTTACAAGCGTTTATTAAATTACAATAATATATAGAATGAGTTACTTTATGTAGGCTTAACACGCTCGAGCCTCATTTTTACGCACGGTTTATTCTGGGTGTACTTCTGTAGGACTTTATACGCCGTGCTGGAGATTTTGCCGCTAGGCAATACGATCTTGAAGATATAATTTTAAAAATTATTAATATTTTTCAATAAAAATATATGTATATTTAATTTATTTAAAGATTAATAAATATGATATTCAATTTCGAATTTTGTATCATGTTTATTTTCGAAAAAAAAATTTCTAAAAAATTGTTACTCTTTCACTCGATCAATAAGAGTGTCCTTTTAATTCCTTTACCACATTTTGATTCTCAGATGAGTAATTCTTCCACTGCATATTGACCCTGATCTTCGACTTGCATTCTATTCCATTGATGAGCTTTCTTACGTTGCTTGGATTTATCAACGCATAAGGTATCGCAGTGATGTGCGTGAAGTTGTTTCGACTGTCGTAAAATTGTCAATTACATGTTACGGGATGAAGGTGAACGCGCACCGTGTCTTGTTTCTGGTATAAAAAAAGCAGTTGTGTTCACCATCATCACTGTGCTACTTTGCCCATTGTCAAATACAATACAATAAATTTCTCCTACGGAAATTCATCAATGGAATAAAATCCCAGTGATGCCAAGGATCAGAGTCAACATGCAGTAAAAGAATAATTCATCTGAGAATGAAAATGCGGTTAAGGGAATAATTTGAATTCTATACTATTTTCTAAGACTGTTAATTCTAAGGTAATTCTGTCGATTAGTCCCTTTTAAGTAGTAAAAATTCGTCGGGGGGCCCAACATTTTTGGGTACAAATATTTTTTTCAGGCAAAAAACGGATTCATCAATTTCTCACAATTTACACCCAACACACACACATATATGCACACACACACATGAATCCATACACCACGCACGCATGCACAAACACACACACACACACAGACAACAGACATGACTGTTTTGAGGCCCATAAAGGTGACTCTTACACCGAATTTGTTTATATTTTTTTTATTGTTAATAAAATTGTTTATATTGTTAGGTTAGGTTCGTTAGTTTAGTTTAGCTTAGAATTCCAATGTTGTCACACCCCAAGGTTCTAGTTTCTTTTAAAAAAAAAAAAACATTAGTTTGCAGGTTTGACCCCTTAATCTTTCGGGTCCCCAGAGTATCCCGTGGACATACATATATATGTATATATATATATAATCACGTAACAAGTATAGTTTGAGGACCCAGGCGATTAAGGGGCATTCACAATAGCAAGCTAAAGCTTTTTTTTAGCTAAAACCCTCACGCATCACAGCATTGAAATTTTAACCTAACCTAACCTAACCTAACGAAACACTTTCTAAGCTCATCACAACTCCGAATGTGTAGCATTAAAAATAAGTAAACAAATTTGGTGTGACACTCGCTTTATGGGCCTCAAAACATACGTGATGTTGATAACACTTTGAGGTCCGACCCGAAACTATACAATTGTTCTCAAACTAGCAGCTGTATTATTGAAACTGTCCCCAAACTATACTTTATTAATGTATATATATATATATACGTGTGTGTGTGTGTGTGGTCATTGCAGAACGTTATGTCTGTTTAGTGGGTTTTGGTTAAAATAAAAAAATAAAAAAAAAATTCGGGCTTCCCCGACTGATTTTCATTATTTAACATGCCAACAAGCCAATCGAGGTGAAAAAAAAGTTCTATCGGCTTTTTTCGGAAAAGGGTCTAATCGACAGAATTACCAAATATTCAATTGTAATAACAAATTTATATCTCTTTAATATACGTTCAATATATGGATTGTGCATACGTTATCGTTTGTATGCATGTAAAACACTATAATTTTTGCACATGAATAACCAAACAGCCTTGTGAACCGCTTAACCAATGGATGTTAAATGTACAAGAAAATCATGACCACATAGTTCTAACAGTAACATTTGCAAACGTTGAACACTTCCAGTTTAAAGGTTCCCCAATAACAAAATTAATTTTCTTGCCAACGGCGAATGCATAAGATACGACCGCATGGTTCAAGCGGTCGTGTCTCAAGGCAAATCTGTTTATCCTCGCATTTCTTTTTATATTTGCTCATTTTTCTTTTTCATTAGAACCATCCACATTATAAATGTCGTTTCATATAGCTAAGCGCTACGCGTGGCTGTGAGTGCCTACGCAGCTCTTAATACTTGGATATTCAGGAAATTGCAAGCGCGAGAAAATCGAAGTGAACAAACTGAGGTTGCTCTAAACGAGTATAAACCAAGACTTCACGATGATGGCGATTCCTTCCTTCATCTACGCTCTTATCCCGTTCCTAACTCTTGTTCTTCTTATCAAATCTTCCAGTAACACTCCCACGGTGATCCAGGAAGACGTTCTTGAGGAATCCTCAGGCAGGAGCGGCAAAAGTACCCGGGGAAACTTGCTCGCAATCTACAGGGTGTTCCCATAGACCAACATAAATGCGCTACAAACAGCGATAAATTTCGTAAGATCATTAATTCGAATTCGTCTAAAATTTAATCAATCAATAAACAATGAGAAGCAGAATCTTAACACGAAATAATACCACTTTTTACAGGCACCTCGAACGATGCATTAAATAAAAAAAGTAACTTCACTATGAAATTCTTATTTAATCTTTACGCCTCTCGAAGTCGCATAGATTTTACTGACTAACAATAAGAAAGCATCCTAGATCGACTCGACTACTCACCGTAATCACTATATTTCGAAGTTCTTTTCGTGCCTCGTAAAGATACACAGAGAGGGAAAAAGAGAGAAAGAAAGGGAACTCCTACTCGCTGAAGTCAGTAGAGTAGCGAAGAGACTCGGTTTGCGTGTGCCGCGCAAGTCGTTTGAGCCTCGCGAGTTTCCTGCGAGTTTGCTACGAGTTTGCCTCCGCTTGAAGGTTCAGGGTCGGTCAAGGACTCCCATTCTCCTTTCTTTCTTTCTCTTTCTCTCTCTTTCTTACTCTCCTTACGCCGTAATAATAGGCTGCACTCTCTCTTGGTCTTGCCTAGCCTCTCACCCCTTGCAAGTACAACAATAATAATAATAATAATAATAATAATACCAACCATAAGCACAACCACCACTTTTCTCCCCCTCGGTGAGGTATAATAAATTACTCCCTCTCACCCCTTGCAAGTACAACAATTCTTTCTCTTTCTCTCTCTTTCTTACTCTCCTTACGCCGTAATAATAGGCTGCACTCTCTCTTGGTCTTGCCTAGCCTCTCACCCCTTGCAAGTACAACAATAATAATAATAATAATAATAATAATACCAACCATAAGCACAACCACCACTTTTCTCCCCCTCGGTGAGGTATAATAAATTACTCCTCTGACTATGTTGTACGTCAGCATCATCGGAGCCGATTACATTGTACATGCGTCCTACTCTTATTATCAGAATAGCTCATGGCTTCCAAATTAGCTTCAAACGTATCGACTGTATTGTTCAATTGCTCAAAATTGATTTTTTTAGACGAAATTATCAGTCTTACGTTTCTACGGTTCGTCTACCTTTCCTGTGATCTTTTGTAGGTAGCCTTTGATATTAACGATTGATGTTTTCTAATTGGATAATAATGCTTTAATTACATGTTACAAGTACTTTTACACTTTTTACATCATTCATTGAATTTCACTCTCGAGATCGCTCGAGAAATTTACTCAGTAGTTTCATGGTTTGCGATAATACGTATATCGTGTACATACTTTGTGCGCTTTTTTTAATTTTCAATATCGCTTACGTATGCGTGCAATTGTGTATATCATGATTTTATATATTAACTGTATCTATTTACACTTGGCGACATTGTCAAGATATCCCGCACGGAAGTCGCATTTCTTTCAGTGCACCCGCGTGTGCGTGTCGTGTAAGAAGATGCACTGACTGCATTGGGCAAAGGCTGGATGCAAGTGGGATCGGGCGGTCATAGTGGATGCGCTCGAATGCAGTGAATGCACTCAATGCAAATGTGTAAGGGACGTAGTAGGTATCTACAAGGTACCAGGGCACTGGTTATAAAGAGACATGTACGTAGTTGATACAAGAAACGGAATAAAATGAATATTGCTGTAAGGAAGAAGACGACGACAAGGGTGAAGATGGGAAGATGCAGTGAATCCAAGAAGAAGCCATTGAAGAAGTGGAGGAGTAAAAGGAGAAGAAAGTTCACGATGAAAAATTATGATGAAGAGGCAGAAGAAGCGGAAGTGAGAAGTGGCCATCCAAGTGGCTATCCTTTCTTGCAATCTAGGCGAGGCCGCTGCACATCATCTACGTGGTTCGTATGCGAAGTGCAATTTCTTCGGTGGATCCTGGAGGCCGTTGTATCCTCTTCGAGCATCGTTCGATCCCTGATTTCCTAGTTGACCGATAACTAGCGTGACGTAACACGAGCGATCGACGGTATACAGTTTTTTCCGACGCTTCGCTTTACTCGGACTCCCTTGGCTTTATCGTTACTGCTTTGTTTCGTTAATTCACGGAGAATTTCAAAAAGAGACAACGTCGACGATGACGATCGTGACGATGGAAATGACGCTCCATGATAAGATCAGAAAATAAACTTATAAAAGATAATAAAATTCTCTTCCACAAACATTAGCATTTTTGCGTTCGCGATTCAGTCTTCATGCTGATGATCCTGACGTGACTTAAGAGCATCAGCAATAACAGAACAAGGAAGAAATCATCCTCGTCCTCTTGAAGTTGGTAACTACGATTCGCAAGGAATTCTCTTGAATGGCTTCTTTAACATAGAACAAATAAATAACGACTATAAACACACGACGCGGTACGAGTGAATTATTATTCTAGGAATCGAGCACTGACTGTAACACCATTTATCATTCGGTACTAAAGAGGAGCCGAAAATTTACTTGGTCAAAAAGTCAAAAAAAAAAATAGAAAAGGACAGATAGCGTGAAGTCACAAGGGAAAAAGTTTGCATGGAACAGCGAACATTCGCCTTGGCGTATCGTAGTGAATCTAGGTCATTCTTGGCTTTGGAACTGAGCAAAAGAAGTAAATAAAGAAATGAAAAAAAGCGACTTAAGAATGGAGTCTCAAAACGGGCTAAGGTTAAGATCACATTTCTCCATCTTCACGCGCACATGCATATGTATATCTATCCATTACGTCTTACGCGTGATACTTGTCTGATGTCATTAGACGATGACATCAGGCCAGGCTTAGCATCTTCCTGGGATAACGTGACATAACTGTAATGCGGAAGTCAAAGCCGGTCTGGCGCCTCGCACCTTCCCTGCTCCCCACTTTTAAGTCCCACTCGAGATAGGCATTCCGTCTGTTACTGCGGCTCAGGTACTCTTGTCGAGTCCATTTCTTTTACTGTGTCCTAAAATCATTAATGATTAACGTGCCATTCGCCAATAACGTGCACACGAGCATTTCGAGAAACTACTTACAATTCTGGTCACTGTAGTAACGTATTGGTCGAAGAAAAAATTGCTCATTCCGTAACGCAGGCTCTTGTGCACGGGACTGTCTCAATTTTGTTTCTTATTTTTCACATATTTTTTTATATTTATTTCTTCAGCAGATTTATGACGCTCATCGACCTTCCATCGTCACGGAGATCATTCCTTCGCGGTTTCATCTTGAAGGCACGCTCGCGCTTGCACTGTACGCTGTGCGCTCAGGCGTGACTATGCGCTTGCTTTTTCCTATCTCTCCCTCTCTTTCTTTTTTTCGCCCGTTCAGTCTTATCTTACTTTTTTCAACTTTTTTACACGCTTCTTTCAGCTCTTCCAATGGCCGAGGATGCCTGACGCGCTTCATAGAATTAGCCCACGTTTTGCGGCCAGGAAATGCCGTTGCTAACGTAAAGCGCCTTGGTCTCTGTTACGGTTAAGTATATATTATGTATAGTGCAGGTATTGATAACGCGCACGGAGCTTGAATGATTCTGATCTTTACAGTACTCTTTGGAAGATACCGAAAATAGAGTATTATATCACGGAAGGAAAGCAGTAGGTACATTATAAATAATTATGGTAAATTATACCAGGGAGAGTTCAGGGACGGATGGAAACTAGAAGAGAACTTTTTCAAGATTTGTAGAATGTCTAAACATTGTAAAAGTATATATATATACAGATATATACTTTCAATGGACATTACCCTCCCTTTCTTTACCTTCGCATGATCATCGATAAATCGATGCAAATTCCGGTTGCGAGAGAATAAAGAAATTTTAAGATTCCTTGCAGCCGTGACGAAACACTAGACCAAGTACCAACTTAAAATATGAGTATCATCCTACTTCTAATGTATGTATACTTGACAGATTATAATCCCTCACACGTTTGCCAATTTTAACGGTCAGATGGGTCTATCCAGTACGTAGATAATGTTATCAATGACAGTTTTGATATCCATGCTTTCGCAGCATATAACACCGAGGAACCGATATTATTATCATTATTATTGTCATAACTATAATAGTACAACTTGATAGTACCGCATTAACAACAGTTTACATACCCGCCGTAATGAATAGATGCTATAACTATCGTAATACTTGTGAAATAGACAGCGTATATATTTTTTTTTTTTTTTTTTTACATAGTCTTGAAATAATTTTCGGCTGATTGCTTTATCGTGTATTGTCACAGTAGTCAGGGGAGTACAGAATTCTGTCTTGCACATTCCGTTAGCGCAGAGCACATTGCGTAGTAGGTATAGTAATGACGGTGAACACCGCGACGTGTACGCGTGTTAAATTGGCATGAAGCGTGACCAGTGTCCACTTCGTGGGAGCGCTTCCGTAACGCGTTTAATTACAATTATGATACCGTTTTTTGCAGTACTTTATTAATTGAGAATCCAGTACTTACGTAGGTACGGACCTACCTAGGTATAAGTGCACGTGGAAGGACGTATTTACTCTGGCAAAACAGTTGACAGAGACCGTGCAGCCCATTAGGAGGCAAATTAAAAGTAGATTCCAGCTGAAGTATTATGATACCGTTCGTTGTAAACATCCTTAATATCTTGATACTAGATAACGAACAGTACAGCGATAGTAGATTTACAAGGATTTGAAACGGTTGGCGCAAATCGTTAGTTGGTACAAGTGAGATTGGTTGTTCGTTATTCACAGTATTAGAAACATAATGAAAATCACGATGACTCGTGATTAGTTAACGAGCATGTAATATCGGAGCAAGAAGCTCACACGAGTTCGAATCAATGAGAATAATAGGTGCTCATTTATATGATTAAGCTGGAACAAGCTTTTATTCAAAATGTACGGTTACGCTCGTAATTATGAAAATCGCATAGCTATCACTCAATATTACGTATATATGTGTATATTGAAACAGATGAAGCGCAGTAGTTTCATTGAATGGGCACAATCAGCCTAAATTGTCATCGAAACTGTATTGTTCAGAAATATGAAGAACATTTTATAATCACTCAATGTTAAATACAAACTAAATATATTGACATCGGTCCACGAGTTCGATGTGTTTTTTTTTTTGACAAGAAAAGTCATAATATCAAGAAAACGTAAGCTAAAACAAATAAATAAAATATATTTCAGTGCAAAATTATGCGAATGCATGATTGGTAACAAAAATGTTACGCAGAGTCGCATACTTCATTGTTGTGCGTCCGTTAACAAAACTCATTGAACTTGTGAACCGACTATAAGTACGTAATATCAAAACAGACGGTAGTCAAGAATTCGAATCGTTGTTCATAAATGGTGCCAACCAGTACGACTGGCGTAAGAGTACAAAAATTTTATATGAAAAAGTATTACAGTACCGTTGTTAATATAGAAACTCGCAACGTTAAGCGATTGAGGATCGAACGGTATTAGCAGAGCAGATGATCCAAAGCGATTCCAATATTCATATTTTCCGTGGGACGAGGTTGGATAAATTTAAGATTGACCCCTTCATTTTTATTTCTCGTTCTCCCTTTATTACATCGTATAATATTTATTTCTCATAATTATGTGTTAATCAACCAATTAAAGAGCTGAGCGCACAGCAATTAAACTCGTTACTGCATTCATTCTTCTGAATATATTACAAACGAATTGATTTCTTTTTCGTATGGCCGCAGCTTACGCAGTTACTCGGGTACCTGACCTTACCATTATTACGTAGGAGAAACGGCACGTATATACTTATCTATACATTGAGCTAATGAACTTGACTTATTAGACGTTAATTATCACTGTGAGAACACCCAACCTTTTATCCTTCCACATTCATCGAGGTTCCTTCATCTTATGCAACCTTATACCTGCGTAAGCTAAGTATATTTCACTCCATTGCATATCAGGTAATGCGCTTTCTTCGTACCTACCAACTTTGTGAAATACAAACTTGCCGAAGAAGACAAGAAGAAAAAAAAGAAAGAGAAAAAGGGAAATCTAGTACGAAAAGTTTTCACGATACTTACAAACACCGTTTCTACGAATTTCTGCATCATAAGAATTTTGATTTACATGCCTACAGTATCTTGTACTATCACATATGTATAACACGTGTCATGATATTACGTACGCAACGCATAAAATACACAATATTATACTCAGCATCGAAAACTGATTTCTCTTATACAAAATGATCGTTTCCGTTATCGTCGAGTATCTTCCACTGATTCTTACAGGTACATGTTATCTGCTTGAATAGAGGTGAATTGAGAAACATCAATAAGAAAGTCTTAAAGGATCATGACCGCGGTACCGTTTCTCCCGTCTTTTTTTATTCCTTCTTTAGTCTCGCTGAAAATTCGTCCAGGTATGATTGACCCCGCCAGTAACTCCTAGTCTTACTGCTCTTTAGAGACTATACCGCTACTTTTTAAAGTTACACTTAACCAGATCTCAAAAACACGTGCTGTATGATTTACGTTAAAATTGAGAAATTCATAAAGTGATATACATTGCGTATATACATTCTTATTCGATCGTAACATGTCTACCGGTTAACTGCAAGACTTTTTGGTTAAATTGAAGGTAACGCGTTAAGACCAAAAGATGTCCGAAGAATAAAACTATTTATGCATGTATTTGCGTAGGCACGTGTGCTAATGTAAGTAGATTAGACAAGTGCGGAAGTCTTTAAAAATGACGAAACAGTAAGGGGGATTTTATTATTCGAAAGAATGATACAGACATTTTTAATGTAAATAATATTAGTTCTATCTATGCAGGTATACATGTACATACTGATAAAGGCAGACGATGTAAAATCAGTGTCAAGTGCAGTTCAAGGAGTATCGGTTCGCTATGACCGCTGCTATGCGTTTACATGCCTAACTATATGTGAATAAACAGGTTATGGTAGTACGTGTACTGCGAGTGTTGCCCCAGTCAGTAGTGTAAAGTTTCAATATCTAAAAGTGGATCGGTAATACGGAACAACTGGTGGGCGTAGAATACCGTTCCTTTCTGAAGGTAGCTGTGAAGGACTTATAATATTACCGATATACTAGTCACTATACTAGTCCTATTATTCGATACTAGTATACTGGCTAACTATTAGTATCTTAAATATATTCCAAACTGTTGGAGTAGGGCGCGATTTTTCTAAAAAAATGTTGCACGGTACAGAGGGCGTCTATGACGACAAAAATTTTATCGAGGTCAGAGGTACTTAGGAAATATCAAGGTCGTTCTGTCTGACACTGCGTAGATAAGGTGAAATGGTGAACAAAAAAGGGGCCATACGAATAAGTGAACAGTCATTTTATTTGACGTATAAGAAAGTGAGAAGGTTCAGGAAGAAAAAGAGATAAATAGAAAAAAAAGCACAATGTAAAAACATCCATGAAAAATCGGCAACCCCCTTAACGCCCTGGGATTGCTAATTATTCATAATTATTCTTGGGAATTGTTATCGATAATTTTTTCAAGTTTGAAATATTTACACTGTAATTAAAGGAGCCGCAATGACTTTTATTCTAGTGATTTACGCTCGAATTCGATCATAGAACTTTTGTGTTTCTGTTAGGAAGACTGGAAATTTCCAATAACAGATTTTTGTAATGCTCGGTACATATTGGAATGCTACGAATTACCCGTCTGAGTGGTCACGTAAGAAATGGTATCATTTCACGGTGAGCTTATCGAAAGATATTTTTGAATTAAAATGTTGATTTTTTTCTTCAAATGGGAATTACCTCGATGCCTCTTCTTACACTCGTATACTGTATACGTATAATTTATCATGTAAAGGGTGTGTAAACGCACATCCACTTATACAGTAGTGGAAAAAAAGACAGCATCGAACAATAATATTCAAACCTAATTAAAAATCCTTTTAAGTGTTGAGTATAAGAAATTATGTATAAGAAAAGTGGAAATGAGCATCGAATCATATAGAGTTAATAATCAAAAATGTTATATGGCGTGTCTAATAACATATAAATGTTATATGTTTAAAAATAATAAGGTCATGTCCGCACGCGAGTACGACGGATGAACTAATCCTGATATAAATGTAAAATGTACACAGAGCATATGTGCATAGAATGTAAATGTATATGCCTCAAAAAGAAAAGTTAAGGGAAGTAAAATTAATAATATACATATCTGCTTATAGTTAGTTTGTTTCGATATGCATGCGTATTCATATGTTAGTATGCAT